GATCAACCTCCACCCCAGGGTCTCCAGGCCGGAGACCTCCCCAGCCCTGCTGTGGACGGGGAAGGTTGGCGATGCGTCGGCGTTCCGGGTCTGGGGATCTCGGGCGTTTGTCCGCGACTTATCTGCGGACAAGCTGTCCCCTCGTGCTGCTCCCTGCGTCTTCCTGGGGTTCCCCCCCGACGCCCCTGGGTGGCAGTTCTACCACCCCACCTCTCGACGTGTTCTGTCCTCCCAGGACGTCACGTTCGATGAGTCGGTGCCCTACTACCGCCTCTTCCCCTACCGCACTCCGTCTCACGGTTAAACCTCATTACGCGTCTCCCATCATCATTTGCTCGCACCTTGACTCCTGATCTACCTCTCCAACAATCATTCTTCGCACAAACGCAACCTCTTCTCGTTTCACAGCCCTCGGAGAACCCTGGTCTACGATTGCGGTGAGAAGGAGGCACAGCTGGCCGATGCACATCTTCTGGTTTACTGCCTTGTACTGCACCCACGAGAATGCTTCGTGTTCGTGTAGCTTGGGCATTGCTCGTGTGTAATATGGCTAAAGACTTGCCACCGCGGCTAGGCATTGAAGGTAGGGAAAGTGCCATGTGGACCTGCAACGCAATGCCGGTGAGATTTTATGGAAGGCGTACTGCTGACAATGCTGCATATGTGTACTATAGGGTCGTGAATGCGTCCTGTGCTGCTGCAATCCCTGCAAGATCCACACTGCGAATCCCTCGAGCCACCCTTCGGACATACCTACTCGTGCTTGTCAGGCATGTGACTGTGCCTTGCAGGTTTGGCTTACCCATAAGGAAAAGTCAACGTAGCCTGAGCGTCTCATGGTGGAGGCGTATACTCCAATGCCACCCATGAAGGTGTCGTCGTACTCTCTGTACACATCAGCACCGCGCGGTGAGTGTACGGGCCCCATCACCATGCGCCTTCTTCTTTTGGTCGGTGTCAGACTCCTGTGCGTGACAGCCTGACATGGAAAGGGTGCGCGTTTGTAAGATACGACAGGGATTTACGAGGGATTAGCGAGATGTTTGCAAAGAGCCGCATGACATTTACAGCTCATGTATGCGGCAATGTGAAGGCTATAACAAAGCATGTATATTGAACCCTACCTAACAGTCGTAGCGCCGTGTCGTACACTCTCGGTCGATCTGCAGAAGGAGGTTATCCGGGAGCATGGCCTGTTGTTCTTTGTGGTGTGCAATGGCCACGCCGACCTCTCGCCGGTTGGAGGCCATGTATGGCAGTTTGCATATTCGTGCGTGTGCATTCTCGTACGGGGCGAAGGAGTACTCGACTGGTAGGCCTGCCCTCATATTAGCATCAGGGACGTGTGTCGCAAGATGCAATTTTAAAAGGTTACAGCCTTCACGTTGTGAAGATAGTGTGTAGAGTTAGGAGCCATAGCTAGGAGAGTCCTAGCTAGGCAAGAGACAGTTTAAGCAAAGGAGGAGTTCACTAGAAAGCAGCAAGATACATATAGGAAACCCTAAGGGGTTGTACTCGCTATAGAGTACCCCACTGCAGGCTAGAGAACAATAACATTCTGACACACCCCCATAGCCAAAGTGGGGTGTAATCAGCAGAGCACACAGTCATAGAGTAGGTGCACAATTGCAAGCAAAGCTAGAGGCTATCACAGAGGGCAAGTGAGGAGGAGGAGGCGAGACTGTAAGAGGAGAGGAGATAGGAGGCGACGGCTGAAGCTGCAGACACACGGGCAACAGGAGTCACCCTGGCACAGCGGCTACCGGAACAGCGCTCCGGACTACTGGGGTAACTGGCTCCGCGGCTAAAACTAGCGACAGACGAGCAACGGACCCACGGGCGACTGGCACAGCTGGTTGCGACTGGGCTACCGGAGCAGCGCCCCGGACTACTGGTGCTGCTGACGACACGACGATAACCTCCGTTCAACCTCCCCAGACAGTCCCACCCCCCCTGACACACACCCCCTGCTTCACCCCTAGCTCCACTCCCACGCCACCCCCCTAGCACCACTCCTTCGGCTCCCACACACCCACCCCCCTGAGCGGTAGCTGCAGCAGTGGGAGACGGAGGAGGAGGAGGAGCAGGGGACGGCGCTCAAAAACTGCACCCCCATACCCCATACGCTCCACCCCCAAACCCTAATTCAGGAGCACAGGTAGCAGCAGGGGTGGGGCACCGTCAGAATCACGGGGGACAGCGGGCAGTGCAAGGGAAGAGAAAACAGGGCGCCTCCGGGCCTGGCGCAGCCCGTACGAACCGCGCGCGGGCGGCCCTGGCGCAGCCCGTACGGGCGGCCCTGGCGCAGCCTGTACGGGCCGCACGCAGGCTGTACGGGCCGCGCGCGGCCCCTACGCAGGTCGCGCGGGCCACGACGGGCGACGGGGGGCGACGCGCGGGTCCCCGTCGCCCGTCGCAGCGCCTCCCGGGGGCGACGCGCGGATTGACGGGACAGAACGCCGCCGCGCGCCTCGGGGTGCACGGCGGGCTGAAAACCCTAATTTCGACGCCGCGCACCACGGGGCGCGCGGCGGACAGAGCGGAAGCGGAAGCAGGTGGTGAACCCATACACAGGGCGGTGGCAGACACGCCGCCCTCTGATACCATGTGAAGATAGTGTGTAGAGTTAGGAGCCATAGATAGGAGAGTCCTAGCTAGGCAAGAGACAGTTTAAGCAAAGAAGGAGGAGTTCACTAGAAAGCAGCAAGATACGTATAGGAAACCCTAAGGGGTTGTACTCGCTATAGAGTACCCCATTGCAGGCTAGAGAACAATAACATTCTGACACATGTCCTCGTGGGAAGTTGACCTCCAATTGTTGGATCATCCTGCACAAATTGCAGTCATATTCGGGATGCATGCAGACATTGGGTCGGAGTCGAGCCGATAGATCTCCACTGTGGCACCTGGATCTACGCATATGAATACGCTCACAGTCGCGTGTCGGTAGCCATGATAGCCAGCGTTTGCATTGTGTGGTGCAGTGTGAGAGTACGCCGACTTTCGACATATTTCTCATTTCCATATTTTTACTCCATCTTATTCTCCTTATTTTCCTCTTGCATTTGCACGTTATTGCAACTCAATCGGACTACTATTCTTTTTTCTAGAGCTTTCCGATTATTTCACTTATTTGGTATTTTCAGCACCGACATTTACATTATACGGCACCAACAGCGCCGACAGTGGTGTACAAGGCGTAATCTTGCCATAATCCGAAGTGCCAATGGGCTCGCGTGCTTATGCGCACTTGTGATTATCTATTCTAGAAGAGCGTGTTCCCGAAGGTTCGGATTATCTGTTGTTTCTATGTAGTTCTGAGTATAAATACGCCTTGTACTCACCTTTAGTGCAACATTTTCGAGTGGAAATTCGATCCTGTGACATGCAGGGCACGGATGTGCGTTTCGTGCCAATCCATGAAGCGAAGAAGGGTCAGATGTTGCACCAGAGTTAGCATCCCTTGCACACGTAGTGGTGCCATCTGCATGGGGGCGTGGGTGGAGTTGCATGACGGATGCATGGGACATACTGAGAAAATGTGTTTTTCGAACAGGTTCATGAGTTCAAATGTTGGCGAAAACGTTTGCGATATAGCGACGACAATCGCAAATTGTCGGGACCTATATCAAGCGGTGCAGAAGTAGCGAGACCGACGCGCGACGGAGCTAACGATATCGGGTGAAAGCGCGCGTCATGGCGAAAAATTGCGACAGAAGCAGAATCAATCGTTACCTTGCAGCAGTCGCAAAAATTTCCGCGACCCTGCTTCATCTCGGAACCACCCATCACTTCCTCTGCAGACCCGTGTGTCGGCGTGGAGTGAGGGTTAGAGGCTTCCTGCCTTGCTCTCGCTGCTACCGAATCCGTGTGTGATTGCAAGAAGCAAGGATTATACTTCAACGAGGCTGCCAAGAAGTGCTATGGTGAGTGCTGCACTGCTGAGTTGTAGACACTACAGCTCTTGAGGCACTCGCATTTTAGCATCTCAGCATTTCAGTCAACCGGCTGCACTGAGAGGCGCCGCTGAGAGGCGCCGCTGAGAGGCAACGCTTGGAACGTTCACCCCTCCTCACTCCTCCCTCACCTTGTCCCTGTCTGCCCCCGTCCCCTCCTCTCCCCTGTCCCGCCTCCAACTCGACGCCTTTGAACCCCCACCATCCTCACAAAACCTTCAATGGCCTGGCATCGTCGCAATCATCGCATCAACGGTGTCAACGGCCGGTCAGCCCCGTTGGTGCGGACGACGGTGGCAGTGCAGGCAAGTGGCAACAACTTCGCGGGCGAGAGGGACGCCACCTTCGCCACACAGGTGTCGGCAGAGCAGGCCAGTGGCAGCACGGCGTGCGGCAACCTGTACACGGTGCTCAAAGGCGACACCAACATCACCGTCGTGTGGAACACCAAGCGCGCCGCGCCTGGCAGCCTCGCGCTTGGCAACGCCATGTGCAAGAGCCTGTCGTTCTACGCTGACTAGGACTGCAAGGCGAAGCTGGATTTCACCATTGCTCGTCCCGTGAAGAAGGGCAGTTACTACCCCGTCATGAAAAGGTGTGTGAACGTAGTGCACACGACTTGTGTGATCTATTCGGGTGTGCTTGCATCACCTAATACGACGCTCTTCTATCATTCGTACCAAAACATGATTGCCCATCGCAGTTGTAGCGTGAATGGGGAGAATGTTGTAACTCGCCCTCACCATTCGTCTTCCCTCTACTTACCTCTCCCTCTCTCAGGACTGTCAATGGAATCGCTTCGCTGCTATCAGTTGGCTGCGAGATCAGTGAGTGCGAGCGCATGCACGTTATACTTGGGTTGTTTTTACTTCGTTTGAAGTGTGTTGCTTGCTCATCCTGACAGATCGATGACACGGGAGAGATACCGCAAGAGAGAGCGAGACACACACCCAACCTCGTATTTTGTTTTTCCTTTTATTGCCTCCGTATGCCTGAAAAGCCATTCTCTTTCTTTGCATGCATCTACTGGTGCCTACAACAGCCATGTGTGACAATGATTGTGGAGCTGCTGCGTGCGTTGTGAAGAAGGGCAAGCCGCAGTGCCAGTGCCTCGACGGCCTCGTGTTCAACGCCGCTAAGAAGCTCTGCCGGGTTGCTCCTCCTCGTAGGTGCCAACAATCTCGTTCATATGTATGGTAATTTGCCAGTGTGACGCCGGCTGGACAATGAGGAGCAGGTTCTGCACTGGCATGATCTGCACTGGCATGCTCTGCATTGGCATGCTCTGCACTGGCAAGCTCTGCACTAGCATGCTCTGCACTGGCAAGTTCTGCACTGGCATGCTCTGCACTGGCATGCTCTGCACTGGCTTGCTCTGCACTGGCAAGCTCTGCACTGGCATGCTCTGCACTGGCAAGCTCTGCACCGGCAAGCTCTGCACTGGCATGCTCTGTACTAGCATGCTCTGCACTGGCATGCTCTGCACTGGCATGCTCTGCACTGGCATGCTCTGCACTGGCATGCTCTGCACTGGCATGCTCTGCACTGGCATGCTCTGCACTGGCATGCTCTGCACTGGCATGCTCTGCACTGGCATGCTCTACACTGGCATGCTCTGCACTTGCATGCTCTGCACTGGCATGCTCTGCACTAGCATGCTCTGCACTGGCTGGATTTACCACATCTCTGTATCATCTCACGTCTTTTGTTGTTGCATGCTCTCCTGTTTGCCCCCTCCTGTTGCAACCATGAACTGATATAGGGAAGAACGGGCGGTCCTAGATGGACGAGCGAGGGGCAAGCGGCCTAAGCTGCCAGCGCTAGAGGGGCATCAGATTGGCAGAGGTGCGAGCAACTGCATGCGGTTGCTAGGAGATGAACCAATTAGGTTGACGGTTGGCTGCCATTTAGACTAGAATCGGGAATGCGAATTTGTTTGCTTGCTTGCTGGTACGGTATGTTGTATCTGTCAGATTTATATGACATAGCTACTGTAGGCTATAGTGGGGTAGCACATATGGGGTACAACTTTCTAGGGTTTGTACTTGTACTCAACTTTCCCTTAGTCAATCTCATTCCTCGTAATATTTCACGTGGTATCAGAGCGGTCTCGGGTTCGAATCCCAGTGTGTGCACTTCGGGCATCTCAGTGCGGGGGGGTGTCAGAGGTCCACTGGAGATCCCCGATTGATCCTAGGGAAGGGTTACAGGCATGTTGTCCTGGGGGGTTATAGGCGCACTGACCCGCTACTTAACAAGCCATTTTAACCCAATGGTCTAATGGTTGGGATTCTGACATGGTATAGAGCGGGTTCCCTCGTGGGAACGCTTCCTAGGGCCCACCCAATCGAATTTTTTTTTCCTGCCCGGAGCGCACTTCGCTCCTGCCCGAGTCGCGCCCCGCGTGCCCTCCCTACCGTCGCGCCCTCTCTAGGCCCCTTACGGCCCCTTCGCGTCGCCCTTAGCGGCCCCTCTGACAGCCTTTCCAGCCGCCCTTACGGCCCCTCGCGCCGCCCTTACGGCCCTTCGCGCCGCCCTTACGGCCCCTCGCGCCGCCCTTACGGCCCCTCACGCCACCCTTACGGCCCCTCGCGCCGCCCTTACTGCCCCCCTACGGCCCGTCGCTGCCCTTCGCGGCCCCTCGTGCCGCCCTTCACGGCCCGTCGCCGCCCTTCGCGGCCCCTCGCGCCGCCCTTACGGCCCGTCGCCGACCACAACGGCCCCTCGAGCCGCCCCTTGCGGCCTCTACACGGCCGGTCGCTGCCCTCCGCGGCCCCTCATGCTGCCCTTCACGGCCCGTCCGCCGCCCTTCGTGGCCTCTCTCGGCCCGCCGTCGCCACCTCTGCAGCAGCCGCAGCCAGCAGCCGCAGTCGCTACAGCGGCCGCGCCCGCCGTCCCCTGCAGCAGCGGCCGCCGCCGTCTCTGCAGCAGCGGCCGCCGCCGTCCCTGCAGGAGAGGCCGCCGCCGTCCCTGCAGCAGCGGCCACCGCCGTCCCCTGCAGCAGCAGCCGCTGCCCCTGCAGCAGCCGAGCCGCCCGAGCCGCCGAGCCGCCCGAGCCACCGAGCCGCCGTTGCCGCCGAGTCGCCCGAGCCGCCGTTGCCGCCGAGCCGCCCGAGCCGCCGTTGCCGCCGAGCCGCCCGAGCCGTCGTTGCTGCCGAGTCGCTGGTACCGCCGAGCCGCCCTGTCCGCTACACCCTGTCACTGCGGTAGCGGCCCCGTTCCTGCTGGTGAGCCTCGGTCCTTCTCGCCTGCCCGGTAAGAGCAGCACCTCTGCCACTGCACTGCCCTTAGCCTGCTGCTCGCGCTGCTAGTCTACTGCTGTCAAGGCTACCCCCAGTGTCCTCGCTTTTGACGCTGAGGGTCGGGCCATTGACTTTGACGTCTGGGTAGATGACCTGCAGCTATTCCTACTTTGCGATAGGGCAGACGGTCTCTCCCTCTTTGACCTCACTTCTGGTGCCTCTCCTGCCCTTGCTGCTAATGCTGACGCCACTGTTCACTCACAGTGGGCCACACGCGATGCTACTGCACGTCTTGCTGTGCGTCGCCACTTGCCTACCTCTGAGCGTGCACACTTTAGCCAGTACAAGAGTGCTAGGACCTTGTACGAAGCTGTAGTTGCACGCTACTCTTCCCCTGCCACTGCTGCACTTAGCTGGCTCATCCTGCTGTACCTCTTCCCTGACCTCGCCGCTTTTCCCACAGTCGCTGACCTCATTACGCACCTTCGCACTAGTGATATTCGTTACCGCGCTGCCCTTCCCTCTGAGTTCTGCGCCAAGAACCCCCGCCCTATGTACATCACCCTCTACTACATAGTCACACGGCTCCCTGACACCCTTAACCCGGTCAGGGACCACTTTCTTGTTGAACAAGAATGAATGAACTAACAGTGAAATGAGTACAAGTATGAAAACCTAGAACTGTGTACCCCCTATAGGCTAACCCACTGTAGCCTAAACAACTACAACAACATATATAATGTTTGACACACCCCCATAGGCGAAGTGGGGGAGAACTAGGGGTCACAAGACCAGTCAAGTAAAGCAAAGCAAAGCAAAGCAAGCTCAGGGTGGATCACAACGTCACCACAAAATCCGAGCACAAGTTCAAGGCCACAAGGCCAGTTCACATGAAGGAGTACATATATATATAAGACTAAACAAACAAGAGCAGTAATATATATATGTAACAGTACAAAGAGGGTCAAGAGGAGAGCAAGTGAGGCAAGACAGACACAAGACCCAGCTGGGTACAGCAGCGCTGATGATCACAAGGCGGAAGTGCCTTGGTGAAGACATCAGCAGTGTTGGCCTCAGAGGCCACGTACGCAAGTCGCAACTGACCACGCTGCTGTAGATGACAAGCAAGGAAGTAGCGGAGAGCAATTTGCTTTGTTCTGTGCTCCAGTCTCTGCTCTCGACACAAGGCCAGCATGGCCTTGTTGTCGACGTACAGGACTGGAGGAGAACGAGGCGGCTCTCCAAGGTCGGTCAGCAGGTAGGTGAGCCAGCGAAGCTCCTGAGCAGCCATAGCCCCTGCGTAGATCTCAGCCTCACAACTGGAGCCGAGAACAGAAGACGAGCGAGAAGCCCGCCACGAAACAAAGCCAGAACCAAGGCTGAAGGTGTAACCCTATGACGACCGCTGCGTAGCCTGGTCGTCAGCCCAAGAAGCGTCTGCGTGTCCAGTGAGGACCACTGGACTCCGCCCTCCAAGCACTAGCCCCATGCCCGACGTACTGCACAAGTTGCGCAACACCCTCTTCGCTGCAGCCATGTGCTCTGGTCGGTGTCTCCCAGGAGCAACATAGCGTGCAAGAATGCTAAGAGGGTATGCAAAGTCAGGTCGTGTGCAAGTCATCAGGTACATGAGACAGCCAACAAGCTCTGGGTACGGGCCACTCGACTCTACGGACTCATCCGAAGGCAGAGCTGAGAGCGAGTGGCGAGTAGACAGAGGAGTGGCCTGAGGCGAGGAGTACGTGAAGCCGAAGCGCTGAAGGACCTGCTGCACCATGTATGACTGGGTCAGGGTAATGGTGCGGCGCGCTCTGTCCCGGGTGATCTGTAAGCCAAGGTAGCTGCGCAGTTCACCCAGGTCTGTGCACGTGTGTCTCTTCTGCAGCTCGGACTTCACGTAGGCGAGTCTAGTAGTGTCAGCTGTGGCAAAGACCAAGTCGTCGACGTACACGAGGATGTAGAACGGCGGCAGAGGGGTGTCGGTGCGTTGAAACAGCGACGGGTCGGCAGTAGAAGGAGCGAACCCAAGAGCCGCAAGTGTAGTCCTCAGTGTGTCATGCCACTCACGTGGCGCCTGGCGGAGACCGTAGACTGGACGCCGGAGACTCCACTGGGTACCAGGAGGGAAAGACCCAATGAAGCCAGGTGGGCGGCGCAGCCAGAACTCCTCGTGCAGGCTACTCTGCAAGAAAGCAGTGCTGAAGTCGAGAGAGTGCAGCTCGTAGTCCCGGTGAGCAGCAACGTGCAGCAGTACCCGAAGAGTGGTCATCTTCGGGGTGGGGGAGAAGGTCTGAAAGTAGTCAACTCCCTGCCACTGTCTGAAGCCACGAGCCACGTAACGCGCCTTGAAGACAGGCGGAGAACCCGGCGGCCACTTCACCCTGAAGATCGACATGCCACTGACGATGTTCGCCCCAGGAGGGGGGACAGCGTCAACGTAGGTGCCTGTGGACTTCCAGGAAGCCATCTTTGCATCCATAGTTGCCTGCCACTGAGAGGAGTAGGGACCCTCTATCGCCTCCGCGTAAGAGCGCGGATTCGGGATGTCAAGTGCATCCGGGTCTCCCTCAGGGGTAAGTAGTACGGACACGAGATGAGGTGAAGCAGCGGCCAAGCACTGGAACTCCTCCTGCCTATCCTCAAGGACGTCCGTGCCAAGGGCACACGCACCCCCGACGAACGGAGGACAGACAGACTCAGACTCAGCGACAAGACTCGCAGCGTAGTCTAGGCGACAGCGAGCAGCAAAGTCGACGAGCTCAGCAACTAGGGCAGACGCAGCAGAAAACTCGAGAGAAGGGTCAGTGACTGCAGTAGCAAGGAGACGCGTGACCGTAGGACTGGCAGCACGAAGAGAGTCCGACGCAGGGTCGGCGAGAGCAGGAAGAGTGGACGCAGGAGGAGAAGGCAAAGGGGCACGCAGATGAGCAGTAGACGGACGTAGAGACATCCGGTGCGTGCCAGGGGCAGGAGGAGGACGCTGGCGCGAACTACGAGCACTAGCGCTAGCAGGACTGACAGGCGACGCAGGACGAGACGCAGACTCACGACGCTCAGTAAGACCACCAGTAGGACCAGTGTAAGGAGAAGGAGCAGGTAGTGGGGAGGCCGGCTACAACTGTAACTGTGACGGGACAGGCTGTGAACACGCTAAGGGAGGAGGACCAGGAGGAGGCGAGAGACCAAGAACTTGCTAAAGGAGCGGAACGAAGTACGGCTGAGGGCGCGCGGTGACTCCGGACACAGCAGGGACAGCACGTGTACCCCCAGCGGCAGTACCAGAACCAGCAGCAGCTCCAACGCCCAGGTCCTCAGTACTAGCCTCAGCACCAACGTCCGAGTCCTCAGCACCAGCAGTGGCTCCAACATCAGGGTCCACAGTACCTGCCGCAGCTCCAACGCCCAGGTCCTC